TTTTTTGATTATTTATTCACACATCTCGTTTTACAACATTATGTCTTAATCAATTATTTTTTATTTATCCTGTGTAAAAGTGTTACCTATTTTTATTTTTAACTACTACTAGTATTTTCATAATTAATTTTTTTTAAACTAATTTAACAATTATAATGTAATTTTAAAGATATTTGGTACTATGCTTTTTTTCTTAATATTCTATGTTTTTTAGTCACAGTATTCGTATTTACAGACTTTTTTACAATGTAATTTAAATTAGAAAAATATACAAATACATACAATTTTATTGTAAATACATTTAATTATACTACATGTTTTGCCATATTGCTGTTATTGTGTTCTAATCAAATTACAATATTAATAATTAATAATTAATAATTAATACCATTTTTAGAAAAAATAGATTATTTATTATATATTTCATGATTATTGTTCTCTTTATTAATTTATGTTTTTATTTTATTTTATTATTATTATTTGTTAATGATAAAAATGTATTTTACATTTTCAATCAGAATACACAATTTTATAGATTAGAGGACTATTTTTTTTTTAAATTATAGAATATTAAATTATGAATCTAAAATATAAAAATTGTACAGTGAAAAAATTGTTTCTTGTTAAATTTGTTGATCTTTGCCTATAATTGTAGTGAAGATATAAATTTTTTTTAATGTTAAGTGTTAATATTGTAAAAATAGTGCAATTTAAGTCTTTTTAATAAAACAATTTGTTTTGATTAGTTATTAAGAGAGCATTTTATTAAATGATACAGAAAATCATCAATAATATTTTTTTCTTTTTAAAATTCTTACAGCCTAAGTTATAAATTTAGTACGTCAATTTTGTTTTTAATTAATAAGTATCTTTAATAGGGCCATGACAAATAGATTTTTTTTTTTGCACACTTAGCTTAACAATAAAATAAATTGAACAATGAAATATGATATTTGAAAGAAAAAAAATGTTAGTGTTCTAATCACCATTAACCCATTGGGCACTTAATATATTCCAATGTCATTTTTCTTTTGTCAATATAACTTGTACTTATCACATCTATTTTGTGTACTTTGTTTTGACACATTGTCAATCATATTTTTAAACAAAATCATACTACCTATTTAATTGTAGCTGTTTTAGCAAMATTTTAAGATGTTTTTCTGTTTTACTTGAAGTATTTAAATTTTTTGCTATACATATTATATTTTTTGTATGATCTATATAGTTTAAAAGTAAAGTATTATAATAATTGTAGATTTTTTTTCTAAAAAAAAAATGTTGATATCTGGTCATAGATACATTTTTTTTATTGACCATTGTCAGAAGTCATGATATTGTATCTAATTTTTAATTTTATCTGATAATAACTCATTATAAAGTAATATCAAATTGGTAATAAACTCGTAATAATGTATTAATATGTCGTTATTGATATTGTTTCTTTTTGTTAGATTAACTGGTGGCATACCAATTATTACTGTTGGACTTAATTAATGTTAAATTATATTATATTATATACCTCATAATATAATATTTATAATATAAATATTAAATGATGAATGTTTATGTCCAGATTACACGATTTTTCACAAATCTGTATCATTGGTTTTAGGTTACTCTATTGTTAATATTGTACACACTTACATACCTATCCTTAACTGTTCTGTACCCATTGATGTGGGATATCTATATAGAATAATATACTCACTTCTCTAGTTTTTTTTATATCATATTTACGTAATAAATTTACAATTATACTATAGTATGGACATTGGACATGTATATCTATTATAATTTTCAGTGATGTAAACAAAATATTCTATAACTCTCTGGAATCTTCAATTTTCAGATGGCACTTAGAAGATAAAAAAATAATTTGATAGCCAAAGACCAACTTGCCAACAGAAATACCCCATATTTGATGTATTTTTGATTTGTTATTCTTGTAATATGTAGTAATATATTAATATGTATACCTATTTGTGTGGGTCCTATGTATAG